AGCTCCTGTCACAAGATGTGCCCCCAGCTGCAGCTTCTCTTGGCTTCCCACACTGTGAGTGCAGCACAACTCTTGCAGCAAAGCAGGACAAATGTTTGAAGAACTTGACAACTTGTTCTTTCTTTTCCTTGTGCACAGGGGAGTTGTGCCATTGGTGAGGTTTTCATTGTTCCTCTTCTACCCAAAGAAAACATGATGGGCTACCAGGAATTGTTGGGGAATACAAGCCTGGCTGAATGTGGAGAAAGAATCTCCAGAGCCTGCAGCCAGCAGTGGAGAGCTCATCATTCCAACAGCCCCATGGACATCTGGAAAGTGATCTGGAACATGAAGATGGGCTGACAGAGGGAGTTTGTTTCTGTGTTCAGTTGAGATGATTCTACATCTCTTGCACTGGGAGAAATCAAGAGCACAATCAGGTGATGATAAGCAGCAGAACATGATAAGCTGGAGCTCTCAGTGGATGAGAGAAAGAATGTGAAAAGGAGAAATGCAGGGAATGACTTGGTGAACTTTGTGTGTAAGAAGGGTCATTTTTTCCTAATAATTCCCAATTCATTCCCTTTGCTTTTATCCTTTTAACAAGGCAAATTGCATCTCAGATTCCCCAGGAAATGAGAACCCTGAGCTTGTGGAGCTGCCTGAAAGGTGCCCTGTTCCTTTTTCTTCTGCTGCTCAGAAGAAACAATGAAGCGAGTTGGGAAGTTCTGGTTTTTCTTTCTCCTGGTGGATTTTTTCATTTTATTTGCCACTGCAGAGGCAATTTCTGTGATGGCCTCTGTCAGTTGATTCTATTTCAGCATCAGTAGCAGCAACAGGGCTGTGTTTGAGCACTGCAAATGTGACCTGTGTGGCTTTAATTCCCCTCGACTTAGTGCTCAGGGACTTGGGAGCATTTTGATCTCTAGTGATCATGATGCCTGAAACAAAAGTCCGAGTTCTCTGTGATAAAGCACAGTGGGTAGCACTGATTGAAAGAGGCAATTGCAGTTTTACTGCTAAAATTCAGGTGGCAAGCAGAAGAGGGGCAAGAGCAGCTGGGATCTACAATTGCCAAGGCCAGGGCACCCACAGCCTCCTGGTGTCACCTCAGGGTGAGTAAAACAGGGCTGAAAACAGCGCTGGATCCTGATCCTTTCTTCCTCTGAGGGCTGGCTGAGGGCAGCAGAGGCGGGCCCTGAGGAATCAGGGCTGTTTGTGGGGGATTGTTGCTGTAGTCCAGCATTGCCCTGGCAAAAGCCCTGGGAAGCCGAGGCAGGAGCAGGTGGGAAGGGCCGGCGCTGCTGCTGCTCCTGGCCGGGAGCCCCGGCCGGGCCGGGCCTGCGCCCGCTGCGCTGCGGCTGCTGCTGCTGCCAGAGCCGGGCGGGACTCGGGGACAGGGAATGGACACGGGGGGACAGCAAAGGCCTTGGGGGCTGCAGGGATGTTGGTGCTGGGGCCAGCGCCAGCACAGAGCTTCAGCCCGCAATGAACCCCGAGGGAAACGCTGGGGAAAGGCTCCATTCAGCCTTTCTTTACTCGGCGCTGTGAAGGGACCGAAATAAAAGGAGAGTGAGCAGGGCCCGACCCCTTCTCCTTTGGGAGGAGCCCCTGGGGCTGTGAGGGGCCGTGAGGGGAAATGAGAGGTTCTATGGGGCCAGGACAGGTTCTGTGGGGCCATGAGGGGTAGTGAGGGGCCATGAGGGGCTGTGAGGGGCCAAGAGATGTTCTATGGGGCCATGAGAGGTTCTATGGGGCCATGAGGGGCTGTGAGGGGCCATGAGGAGCCTCAGCCCTGGCAGGAGGGGTCCCACCATGTCCCCAGGGCAGAGCAGCCGTGAGGGGCCGCGAGTGCAGATGTGGCAGCAGAGCGGGCTTGGGGCACTTCTGGGAAGGGATGAGACCCTTCCCCAGCTCCAAACCACACTAAACCCACCATTAAAAGGATTTTCCATCTTTAGAATCCACTGGCAACTTGGAAATGACTGTACAGTTTAATCCCAGTGGGAAAAGCAAGGGAATTTTCCCAGTGAGAGACATCCAGCCATTTTTATTCATGTCTAAGATTTAAAAGTCTTGACAGTGAAAAGTAATACTAATAAATAACAATAACAACAAGAACAAGAAATAAAGCCCCGAATCCCAACAATCACCTCAGAAACAAGTTTTTGTTTGTCGTAATAGATGAGTACTAAAGAAATAAATGAAAGAAATGTCATTTGTAATTAGATATGTTTCATTTTTCCCAGTTTCTGGACCCCTTCCTCCAGGGTCATTTCCTTTACTCACCCACTTTCTAATAGGTAGAAGGGAGTTAAGCACACTGGAAAAGACCCCAAAACAACGAGCCACGCAAAAGGGAAGGAATAAAACCAGCACCATCTAACAAGGAAGACCCAGAGGAGTCCCCTGACTTCTTTCCAGAGGCCGACATAACCTCGAGGAGACTCGACTGGGATGACAGCCTAGACTACGAGCCCTAAAGAATGAGTCTTCCCGGGGACTCCCGTGAGGAAGGAAGGCCCAGCTCTGTCCTAGTGACAGAGCTGCACGGATCCTCCTCTTCTGCGGTGTCCAGTGGGAGCAGTGGCGGTGTGCGCAACCCCTCGGGCCCCCGCCCCAGAGCTGTGCTGCTTAATAAAGGCCTTTTTAAAAGGAGCTGGTCTCCTGGCCCGTTTATCACACCTGTGAGAGACATCCAGCCATTTTTATTCATGTCTAAGATTTAAAAGTCTTGACAGTGAAAAGTAATACTAATAAATAATAATAACAACAAGAAAAAGAAATAAAGCCCTGAATCCCAACAATCAGCTCAGAAACATGTTTTTGTTTGTAATAGATTAGTACTAAAGAAATAAATGAAATAGATTTCATTTGTAATTCAGACATGTTTCATCCTTTTCCCAGTTTCTGGTCCCCTTCCTCCAGGGTCATTTCCTTTACTCACCCACTTTATAATAGGTAGAAGGGAGTTAAGCATGCCAGAAAAGACAACAAAAGGGAAGCAGCCACCACTCCAGGGAACCTGAATTGCCCCCAGGCTCGTGTGTGCACTTGAAGGGTGAGCAGGTGTTGGGGACAGAGATCTCAAACTCCTTCTAAGGCTGTGAGAAACCCACAAGTGGCAAAGTATCATTGTGGGTCAGCTCCTGCTGAAATTCCATTCCCCCACACCCTCCAAATGGGCAGGCAGGGCTGGGCTCTGGCAGGGTTCAGTTTTGAGTGCCTTGTGCTCCCTGGCATGGAAGTGATCCTATGAACTCTGGTACTGATGGATTGTGGAATGGCTGCTGAAGGAGGAGGGGGAATCTCAGCAGACAGGAAAGTCTCTTCTTCTCCCTTCTCCCTGCAGAACCCCCTCTCCAAAGAGAAATGCCTGTGCTGGGTTTCCATGGCACCCCTTCCCTCAGCCCAGTGCCTGAGCCACTGTGTGCTCCGCAGGAGCCAAAGCCAGAGGAGTCCCAATATCAGTCACCCCACGGTCCCCACACAGCAGGAGAAAGCACTGCTTGCAGTGGGGCTGCTGATCTGCGACCCATCCTGGTTCCATCCACCCCACTCCTCTCAGCCACAGGCACCAGAAGGATCCCAGGAAAGCCACAGTGCTCTACCAGATGCCAGGAGCACTCCCTGCTGTGGCCTCAGGGATGCTGGGTGACCTCGTGGAT